ACATATGCAAAATCCAAATATAGAACCTCTCTTCCAGGAGTTCAACCGAAGGGATATTCAGATACAAATGACAGCAAAAAATGAGCACAGTCTTGAAAGAACTGTATTAATCAACAGGACAACCAGGAAAAACAGGTATCGAGAATCCTAACAGATAACAAAGACAGGTAGTAACAAAAAAAAAAGTTCAATATCAGCAAAGTAAAAAGTTCAGTTGTCCAAGGTAAGGTCCTGCCGCCAGTGTTCCTTCTCGTCCTCACAGCAGACACAGACAAGAACACCAGCCACAGCTTCGCGGCATCTTTTGCGGACAATATCCACAGTAAACGTAAAAGCCACCTCAGTAGAAGGCACAAAAAAATTAAAAACAGATATCAACAAAGTCTTCCAGTGGTAAAATGAAACTAACATGATGTTCAGTGATGAACAACTTCAGCTGCTGAGGTTTGAAGACGTCAACACCAGCACAGTACACAGACCACAGGCACGTCACACTACGGAACGTAAGGAACAGGTAAAAAAAAACTTATGAATAATTATTCCACAGGCCCTGTCATTTGAGAAGCACAATAAGGTAAATGCGGTACAGGCTAGGAAAAATAACAGGGCAGATTGAGAATTTTGAAAACAAGAGAAGCAACGCCACTGATATTATTTTTCAAATCACTTGCGCTCTCACGACCTGAATATATTGTGTTGTGCTCACAGCACCTTACAAGGCACGAGAGATAGTTGAGCTGGAAAATATTCATAGGTATTACTGCCCACAGAAAATCAATAAATCGTATACACTACTGAGAAGTCTTCAAAGCACTTGGATTCTTTCTCTCTCTCTCTCTCTCTCTCTCTCTCCTCTCTCTCTCTCTCTCTCTCTCTCTGGAACGAAGAAGAGAAAGAGATATACCTGATAATATATACGTGGAAGATAGTTGAAGGCCTTGTCCCTAACTTGCACTCTGCTACAACAACTTGTGAGAGTGATGACTATGTATGCTTGCAGAGGTAGAAGAACCCTCGAAACAGATCATGGGTAAAGTATAGGTAAATGGTTGAAAATGAGCTGGAGACGGACAGTGGTTGATTAGTATGAGTGGGACATGTTTCCAGCAGCACGGTGGAGCTGGACGAGGTGGACTGGAGTTAATAGAGGCAGAATCCGTCTAGGAAGGAAAGGACAGTCTGAGAGGACTAGGACAGTCTAGCAGCACAGAAAGATGATAATTTTATTATATGGGAGTGAAGCATCCATCGGCCTGAAGAATCTCCTGGTCTGAAGCATCCCCTGGTCTGAAGCATCTCCTGGCCTGAAGCATCCCCTGGCACGAAGCATCTCCTGGCCTGAAACATCCTGGCCTTAATCATCTCCTGGCTTGAAGCATCTCTTGGCCTGAAGCATCTCTTGGCCTGAAGCATCTCTTGGCCTGAAGCATCTCTTGGCCTGAAGCATCCCCTGGCCTGACTCAACTAGGTTTCACATGTCTGTTTACAATAAAAGCAGATCACTACACAGTACATTCCCAAGATGGTTGAAGGTGATCTGGCAGGAAAAAAGTACCTCACCAAGGTTCATATGATCCAAAAACCTTGTGAGTGGATGCAAGATGAAGTATTAACACTATACACTAACAATCTTCACCAATAACCCGCGCATAAGAGAAAGAAACTTTGTGACGACATTTCGGTCCAACTTGGACCATTAACTAGTCACATGTATGACTAAACTTCGTCATACAGTTTCTTCTGTGTGCGGATTATTTGTATATTGTTCTAGTCTCTGTGTTCTTCGTTGACCAACAATATCAGATGACTTTCAACGTGATGCGATTTTATTACTGTTGTATTATCTGGTGAGAATTGAAGACTTAGGGATCAAATCTCATTAAATCCCAATCCCACAACGCCTGTGGAATGGGATTCAATGAGATTTGCTGTCAGGTATTATATATACTGTGTATATACGGTGGGATTTCAGATATATTGTATGACTGCTTATCTATCAGCCCAGTCGGTGGCTTGGGTCTCGATGGGAGGGGCAAGAGGGTGTAAGTGGAGGGGCAGGAGGGTATGGTTGGAGGGGTATAGGAGCAGTAGGGACTACTGGTATTGCCCAGGGCTGGGGAAGACCGAGCACAGCTACCCAACACTCAGCCAGCCAGCCAGCCAGACACTGGCTAGACAGCACCCTAAGTGAACCCGCTAACCCTCCCTCCCTCCTGGTGAAAGTTATCCTCCTCCTCCGCCTCCTCCTCTTCTTCTTCCTCCTCTTTAACCCATCAACCTCATCCCTGATTCACTGACCTGAAACCCCCTGCACTCACCTAGCTGTGATTGCAGGGGTGTCGAATCTCGGTGTCTTGTATCTACAGTACACTGAAACCTTTGTCTTTTAATTGTCTAAATCCTCTCCTTAATTATATATCTAAATCATTCCCACAATTTTTCCTCGCGTCTTGGAGGCGAGAACTTTAGGTAACTTCACAAAATAGGTTGGACAAGTACATGAGTGGGTGTGAGTTAGACCTGTCAAGCATGGACCAGTATGCCTACTGTTGCGTTCCTTCTTATGTTCTTATATTCTCATGTTCTTAATCTCCCCCCCGCCCCCTTTCTTCATTCGTTCAGTGTTGGGCCCCTTGTTCACAATCTACATTAACGACATAGATGAGGGAATAAATAGTGACATAAGCAAATTTGCTGATGACACCAAAATAGGCACTCCAGGATGATTTGAACAGACTGATGCAGTGGTCGGAGAAGTGGTAGATGCAGTTTAATATTGACAAATGCAAAGTTCTAAATGTTGGACAGGAAAATAACCATGTCACATATAAACTAAATAATGTAAATCTTAATACTAATGATTGCGAAAAGGATTTAGGAGTTCTGGTTAGCAGTAACCTAAAACCAAGTAAAGAGTGCATAAGTGTTCGCAATAAAGCTAACAGAATCCTTGGCTTCATAGCAAGAAGTATAAATAATAGGAGTCCTCAGGTTGTTCTTCAACTCTATACATCCTTGGTTAGGCTTCATCTAGATTATGCTGCACAGTTTGGTCACCGTATTACAGAATGGATATAAATGCTCTGGAAAACGTACAAAGGAGGATGACAAAGTTGATCCCATGTATCAGAAATCTTCTTTATGAGGATAGACTAAGGGCCCTGAGTCTGCACTCTCTAGAAAGGCGTAGAATTAGGGAGGATATGATTGAGGTGTATAAATGGAAAGCAGGAATTAATAAAGGGGATGTAAATAGCGTGCTTATTACAACCCAGGAGTCCCAAAGGCCTGTTATCCTGGGTGTAAAGGGAGCAAAATAAACACAACAGAAAAACTTTTGACTTGTATTATCCTTCACCAATTTAGAACAGAAGTATGTACACTATATACACTATGTACATCAATAGGTATTAGTGCACTCCACGGTAAGCAAGGCAGAATAGAAGCCACTAGAGAGCAAACCGTGCTTCAACCAGCTCTAGAATGGGAATGTCAAGGGCAATCAGGTGAGTGGTACCCACATCACTTCTGCGATTGCCAAAACCATCTTCTCATTGGCTGGAACCTGGGTACTGATTGAACGACGGGGCCCCATCATCAACCCTTAGTACCTGGTTCACTGGTTGGGGGAGATAGCCTTTCATTGAGGGTGTGTACATGCGCCGAATAAAGGTTACGTAATCTTTGCATGCCACAGTGCTAAAAATATCTATCACAGACAGAACTCGCAGCAATGGCTTTAAATTGGAAAAATTCAGATTCAGGAAGGATATATGAAAGCACTGGTTTGGTAATAGAGTTGTGGATGAGTGGAACAAACTACCGAGTACCGTCATAGACGCTAAGACGTTGTGTAGTTTTAAAAATAGGTTGGATAAATACATGAGAGGGTGTGGGTGGGTGTGAGTTGGACCTGACTAGCTTGTGCTACTAGGTCGGATGCACTGCTCTTTCCTTAAGTGACGTGTCTGACCTCACTTGGTCAAGGCACTGGCTTAAGCCGGTACGAGATTTGGAGCCGCCTCGCATAGGCCAGTAGGCCTGTTGCAGTGTTCCTTCTTTCTTATGTTCTTGTGTTTCATCTCTGCCTAACTATTCCTCTTTCCCTTCCACCCCGAGTTTTGCCTCACAAGTTATGTTTGCTGGGAGATCGAGTCCTATCTCCTGTGATGTTGTGTGTTTAATGTTATTCCTTATTGACCACGTTTCGCCCATACAGTGGACATTATGAAGTCACAAACAGATCTACCTGGGTCAAGAGTACGTGAGTATATATAGTGTGGAGAGTCAGGTGGAGAATGTTGGGTAGGTTGTGTTAGAGACTGACCTGCCCGGGACGGGCCAGTGTGTGTATTATGAAGGATAATGATAACGAAGTTTTCTGGCCAGGAAACTTCTTCATCATTATCCTACATAAGAACATACACACTGGCCCGTCCCGGGCAGGTCAGTCTCTAACACAACCTGCCCAACATTCTCCACCTGACTCTCCACAATGTATACACTCACGTACTCTTAACCCAGGTAGATCTGTCCCTGACTTGATAAAATTCACGGTGTGGGCGGAACGTGGTCAATAAAGGGTCACATTAGACTACAATAATAATCTCTTATTAAATGTTATTTGAATCGGGAGAAATATAATTTTCCTTCCATTTTAAGAACGGAATTGAAAGTTAAGACACTTGTGCAACATCTGGTGATCTTTATTGTAGACGTTTCGCCATCCAGTGGCTTTATCAATACAGATTCTTGGACATAATAAGGAAACAGAAGAACTATATACAAAAGATGAGGTAATCAGTCCCTCAGCCTTGAAGGTGGTGTTTAGAGCACCGTGGTTGTAGAGATTAATAATAATAATAATAATAATAGTAACCACAATAATAATAATAATAATAATAATAATAATAATAATAATAATAATAATAATAATAATAATAATAATAATAATAATAATAATAATAAAATATAACTGGGGGTGTTTGGTTTGCCTGCAGCATTGATGGAACTCGACCACATTCCTGCCAGGAGTCCTGAAGCTCGTCCCAGACGCAAAAGGAGCGCCCCGTACATCATCTACCCTGAGATCCTCGTCCTAGTCGACTACGACGGCTACCTGTGAGTTGAAACCTCTTATCTAAGCCTCTCTAATCTCGTACCCAGTCCTCTCTAATCTCGTACCCAGTCCTCTCTAATCTCGTACCCAGTCCTCTCTAATCTCGTACCCAGTCCTCTCTAATCTCGTACCCAGTCCTCTCTAATCTCGTACCCAGTCCTCTCTAATCTCGTACCCAGTCCTCTCTGATCTCGTACCCAGTCCTCTCTGTCTCTTTCTATGTCTTTGAATCTCTTCCTCTCTCTGCCTTCCTGGGAGGTAGAGTGTTGGGCTCACTTCTGAAAAGCTCCGAATTCAGCCTTGGGAGAGACAGGTTTGTAAATCACCTAACACCCGCTGTCTTCTGCTCGTCTGGCAATAAACGGTACCTAAAAGTTAGACGGCTGTTGCATCCTGGGAAGGTGGACCACCTCAGAGGCCAATCAGAAGTAGGCTACAATTCGTCGCTTTGCTTGGGTTATTAACCAACCAGAATTAATAATTTTTTTCGTCTTCTTTTCTTCTTCTTCTTCATGACCTATGTGGTTTGAGCGTGTTTCTTTTTTTTAAATTATAGTTCTCTCTCCTTTGCCTCTCTACAGGTTACATGGGCAGGACAACAGTCAGATCAAGAGTTACTATGTGTCCTTTTGGAATGGCGTAGATCTACGTTACAAGCTTCTAAAGGGACCTCGAGTGAAGATCTCCATCGCTGGTATTATTATCTCCAGGGTAAGTCGTGTGTATCTGCATGTGTGTGTGTGTGTGTGTGTGTGTGTGTGTGTGTGTGTGTGAGAGAGAGAGAGAGAGAGAGAGAGAGAGAGAGAGAGAGAGAGAGAGAGAGAGAGAGAGAGAGAGAGAGAGCAACTCTTATCATACATTCATCGCTACCCCTCCCTCACAGAGCCGCGATGCGATGCCCTACCTGGAGAAGAACCGGGTGGGTCGCGATGCTATAGACTCAGCCAGTGCCCTCACGGACATGGGCAAGTACCTGTACCAGGAGCGTCGCCTACCCACCTACGACATCGCCGTGGCCATCACCAAGTGAGTACCTGGCTTGCCCTCATCCCGTACAGTGCTCAACACAGGTATTTCGTAAACCAACGAGATTTTGTAGCCCTTGATTTGCCTATCTAATATTTTGACTTACCACCCATACGATAGGTGTTTGGTGGATAGTAAAGCTATCAAAGAGTAATAGCAGAAATAATAATAATAATAATAATAATAATAATAATAATAATAATAATAATAATAATAATAATAATAATAACAGAAGAAGAAAAAATATTGATTTCCCTGTGTTAAAAATTTTTGATCCTTCAGAGGCAAGTTACTATAAGAAAAAAATTTTTATTCTTTTCTTCCTCGTTGCTTTGAAAAATCTAATTTTATCATTATACTTTGATTATTCATTGAGCTTTAGAAAGGTAGAGGAGAGGTGACTGACTGCAAATGATCCTCGGGGCTGGAGTGTAAGTATGTACGAACGTACTGAAGACGGTGCTCAGTGTCGGGACATAGTGAGCGCTTATCTTGGAGGTCAGTCCAAGAGACCGACTGGTCAGATTCCCAGTTGCGATCAGGGGAGCGGAGGATCGAGCTTCCACCCTTTCTTGGGCCGAATGACCCACAGAATTTGTATCTGGTTGCAATACCTGGAAGACCAAGTTACAGGTAGAGCCTCGACCTGAAACTCGTGTCCACTACTTTGATGAGAAAGTTATCTTTCATGAGAATGTTCCTACAGACTATTTAGCCATTAACAGTCAAATTACAACTATAATATTGACTATGTAATTAATTACATTAAGTGTGTCAGTTGCATAAAAATAGAAAGTTGGATGAGGAGACGTTTCTTTAACGTAGAGCTGAGGAGGTTGAATGTGGTTTGATATTAATACACAAGATTATTATTGTGGCCAGAGTGAAGGTTGCAGATGAGGTTGAGACCAGAGAAGAGCCTGGCCTGTGCTGGCAGACCTCCCAGTCACCGGGAAGGGCCACCACCCCAAAACATTTTTCTCATCCAAGTCTGTCTTCCCTCATTAACATTCCTACCCAGGTACGACTTGTGTCGTCGACGCAAGAGCGGGAGGTGCACGACGGGCACTGCTGGTACGTTACACTCCACCAGATACCCCGCACGTGCACACACACACCAACATCTGAGTGTATGGCAGACACATCTATACGGTGGAGGATCTACTGTTTGGGTTATTGGTTCTTAGCACACACAGTCTGGTCCGTAGTTTGCTAATGTTACAACTACCTCTCCCCCCCCCCACCCCTAACATCCGTGTGTGAGGACCCTTGTTTTCTGTGAGGATGAGGATGGAAAACAAAGGGGGTCAGTTAACAGTCACAGTGGTTGAGGTAAGTAGCGAGCCACAGACGACAAGTTGACGACAGACCAACAGAAACAGTCACCACCACCATCTACCAGCACTACCAGCACTACCAGCACATGAAGCAGAAGCACGCCCAAAGTCTGATACGAGGGACTTACAGGTTTTGGGGCACTTGGGTATCTGGCTTTGGGTACACAGAACCTAACATTTCTCCCTCAACAGTCCATATATGTTAGCAACATTGATCACGGCAGCAGTCCTGTTGTGACGTCACCAACAATGCTAACGCCTCCTGTTATGACTTCAGTGCTGCCCCCGTACAACTGTGGGGGGCACTGCTGATGACCCACCCACCCACCCACCGTTGAAAACAGCCACCAACGATACTAAAATGAAACTCTCTGACTCTTTTTATTTACTTGCAGATTAGACATGTGTAGACGCGCTTTCACAGGGGGGGTTTGCAACAGGGGGACTGCAGGTAGGTTGAACGGGACTGACCATTGCACCACCTGCACTACCACCATCACTTCCACCATCACCACAACTACAACCAAAATCCCCAACCTGCATATAAACAACAGCACAATACTGTAGACGGGGTTAATTACCAGTCTATCCTTCACAGTTACTTATATTAGCTGAGAGCATGTTAAATAACTTAGTAGGAGGAGGAGGAGTGTTGTGGTGGTGGTGGTGAGTGTAGAGTCTGACTCTCCTAGACTTAGGCTTACCTGTCTTTACAGAAAGCACTTGTATTGAAATTTTCACTGCAGTAAATAGAGATTCAACTATATATATAAAATATATATATAATATATATATATATATATATATATATATATATATATATATATATATATAATATATATATATATATATATATATATATATATATATATCCAAATAATGGTTAACACTGTTAAAATAAATCATAAATTTGTAGTTACTCTGGACTTTAATCATTGCACCATTCCCGCCACTATTCCCGCCACTATTCCCGCCACTATTCCCGTGCATAAGTCACTATCACCGGCCACCAGACTAACATACTATTATATATTATAATATACAAACACTTGAAGCAGTACTATCCACTTGACTATTTCCCACAGTACCATTTCATGAACACATATAATAACCACACCTGGCGGGGCCAGGAGCTGTGACTCGACCCCTGAATCCACGTTTAGGTGAGTACCAGATTACCACCATCACCACCTTTGCAAATAAACGTTATGCAACAAGCTTTTCCCGAGGACAACGTTTCGCCCTGTGTCACCTTTTTCAAGCTACGGCTTTTTACAAGCACTACACTGGGCGAAATGTTGTCTCATTTAAAGCTTGTGTATCTTCTCGTTTCGTCCAAACAAGTAACTTGTTTCACTCTCTGGTATCTCTGTCATTCTCACTATTTTTTAATAGGCTATAAGAGGAAGGGTAGGAATAGGGAAGGGAAGGATTGGAATAGGATAGAGAAGAGAGAAAAGTTGTGGGTAGATAGACAGAGAGGTAAGACAGGTTGTGTGTTAGACAGGAAGAGAGAGAGGTAAGAGATGTTGTGGATAGACAGGAAGAGAGAGAGGTAGAGAGGTTGTGGATGGACAGGAAGAGAGAGAGGTAAGAGAGGTTGTGGATAGACAGGAAGAGAGAGAGGTAGGAGAGGTTGGGATAGACAGGAAGAGAGAGAGGTAAGAGAGGTTGTGGATGGACAGGAAGAGAGAGAGGTAAGAGAGGTTGTGGATAGACAGGAAGAGAGAGAGGTAAGAGAGGTTGTGGATGGACAGGAAGAGAGAGAGGTAAGGGATGTTGTGGATAGACAAAAAGAGAGAGAGGTAAGAGAGGTTGTGGATAGACAGGAAGAGAGAGAGGTAAGAGAGGTTGTGGATAGACAGGAAGAGAGAGAGGTAAGAGAGGTTATGGATAGACAGGAAGAGAGAGAGGTAAGAGAGGTTGTGGATAGACAGGAAGAGAGAGAGGTAAGAGAGGTTGTGGATGGACAGGAAGAGAGAGAGGTAAGGAGGTTGTGGATAGACAGGGAAGAGAGAGAGGTAAGAGAGGTTGTGGATAGACAGGAAGAGAGAGGTAAGAGAGGTTGTGGATGACAGGAGAGAGAGAGGTAAGAGGTTGTGGATGACAGGAAGATAGAGAGTTTAGGTAACCTACACGTGAGGTGAATTATCATAGACTACGTCATTATAGAAAGTACACATCAAGGGTGACGGCAAATGTTCATGAGTAGTTATCATACACAGGATGATGATGCATAACATCAGAATCCTTGGATATACCTGTACTCACGACCGACACAGTACATCAACAGCGTCCTTGACAGCACTATTGTATCACTTCACTTAGAGTCACACAATTCATCACGATGAGACACAACACAACTGAGGTACCACAATCATCACACCGATGACCACAATCAATCACACGATGGCCACATATCACAGAAGAAAATCATAACGATGTCCACAATCACACGATCGGGAAATATAAGAGAAAAGAGTTGTGGATAGACGAACATCGAGAGACAATGATGACGTATGAGATAGACAGAAGAGATGAGAATGGTAAGAGAGAGATCGTGTGATGACAGGACAACACAGATGAAGGAAGACAAGTTGGATACCAGGAAGAGAGAGTAAGAGAGGCGATGACACGAAGAGGAGGTAAGAGGTATGGATGCAGAGAGGGGTAAGAAGTGAGGAGGCAGGAGAGAGAGAGGTAAAGAGGTGGGATAGACAGAAGAGAGAGAGGTAAGGAGGTTGGATAACAAAATCAATGCGTAAGACGCACAATGATAGACATGGATGAAAACGTCAACGAGTGTGACTCAATCATAACATCGATGGAGCAGTCATCAAGACGTTGGAACGACAGTCACAGAGAGTAAGAGCAGTTACTGGATCACACAGAGACCAAAGTCACACGATGACCACTCATCACATTGATGGACCAAAACATTACAGATGACAGCTATGATCACAAGATGAACACAATTCAACAGATCGATGACCACAAGTCAAATGTCGATAGACCAAAGAAATCAAACATCGATGACCACAAGATCAACAAGTTGGATGGACACGAACAAACGATAAAGATTCGACTAACAGAAATACATGAGTGAACAAGTCATCAAACGATGACCACAATAATGACACCGGATGAACACAGGACATCACAACGATAAAACAGTTCTGATGGACAGACAAAATAGAGGTTGACCTCAATCATCACACCGAAGACCACAAGTCAAAGTTGTATGGACAGAATCAATCACATCTGATGTATATCAATCTCACATCATAATGACTCACACATCAAGCTACACACGATGACCACAATCATCACAGCTGATGACCTACAATCACCAATCCTTTGATGACCACAATACATCAACATCCGATACACAATCAATTACACCGATGACCACAATCATCACACTGATGACCACAATCATCACATCGATGACCACAATCATCACACTGATGACCACAATCATCACATCGATGACCACAATCATCACACCGATGACCACAATCATCACACTGATGACCACAATCATCACACCGATGACCACAATCATCACACCGATGACCACAATCATCACACCGATGACCACAATCATCACACTGATGACCACAATCATCACACTGATGACCACAATCATCACACCGATGACCACAATCATCACACTGATGACCACAATCATCACCATCGTGACCACAATCATCCTGAGACCATAATCACCTGATGACCACAATCATCACACCATAACCAATCATCACGTGACCCAACATACACTGAGATGACCCTCTCACACGATGACCACAATCTCACACGAGACCCAATCTATCATCGGACCACAATCATCCACTGATCACAATCGTCCACTGATGCCAAATCATCACACGATGACCACAATCACACACTGATGACCACATATCACACGATGACCACAATCATACCTCGATACCCAATCTCACATGATGACCACAATTCACGATACCACAATCATCACCCGATACCACATCATACACCTGACCACAATCATCATCTACCGATGACCAAATCAGTCCATGTGACCCGAATCTACCTGATGTAATCTCACCGATGACCACATTCTGTTGACAAATCCTATCTACCACATATCACATCTGATGCACCACTCATCACATTGACCTTCATTCACACCTGTGACTACAATAGTACATGAGCCATCTGCTCGGTGCCCATTTACATCTGACGTCTTACACCGATGCCAGACCGATACACAATCTCACACGTGCACATTCAACTTGTACCTAACACTCGTGCCACAATTATACTCATGCCACATCTACACTAGTAACTATAACCTGCGACTTACATATCACTTATGACCAATACACATTGATTCCATAACTTAACCGTGACCACAATCTTACACTCGATTGACCTATATATCATACACTGTGAACATATAATTGACAATATTCCCGTTATGACCACCTTTGATACTGATTGATCTTATGCATCCTGTGACTTCTATTAGTCACCGATGACCAAACATACTACTGATGACCATAATCTAATTGATTACCACGAACTTCTACACCTAGAACATCATCACTCGAGCAACATGTGATACCAAATCATCATGGGACCAAAACATCACTCATGACCACACTAACTATACCAAACAACATTGACAGATCATTCACCGAATTACCACATTCATCACATCGATGACACAATCATCACATCGATGACCACAATCATCACATCGATGACCACAATCATCACATTGATGACCACAATCATCACACCGATGACCACAATCATCACACCGATGACCACAATCATCAATCATCACATCGATGACCACAATCATCACACCGATGACCACAATCATCACACCGATAACCACAATCATCACACCGATTACCACAATCATCACACTGATGACAATCATCACATCGATGACCACAATCATCACACCGATGACCACAATCATCACAGCGATAACTACAATCATCACATCGATGACCACAATCATCACATCGATGACCACAATCATCACACCGATGACCACAATCATACAATCGATGACCACAATCATCACATCGATGACCACAATCATCACACCGATGACCACAATCATCACACCGATAACCACAATCATCACATCGATGACCACAATCATCACACCGATGACCACAATCATCACATCGATGACCACAATCATCACACCGATAACCACAATCATCACACCGATGACCACAATCATCACATCGATGTCCAAAAGCTCCAGCTGCGGGGTTATCCTATGACTACGACTCGCGTCGGGAAACACTTGTCCTGTTTCCCGACAAACCTAACCTAATCACACTGTGACACTACGTCTGGAGACATGACCCCTCTCGTGACATAGAAAATCTCAGTGTCGGGTAGGTCATGTCTTCTACTGGACATGCAGCCTTCTGTCTGTCCGTCTGTCTGACTACCTGTCTGTCTGACCCGGTGATTACCAGACTACACACTCACACACACACTTCTCTCCTCTCTTACATGTGACTGTTGCTCGTTTACTCTATGCCTCCGTATTTACCTAACAGGAGATATATCTTGACTGACTTTGTGTTGTTTGCCGTTGACCTGTTTATGCACTCTTAATGACCTTTTTGTTCTACTCCGTTGACCTGCTAATGCACCCTCATTGACCTTTTCAATCACTGTTGACTTCTGTTTATGCACCTTGGTACTGCTGATTTTGATCTTTTGATACCTAGCGACTTCTACTTAGTAACTTGTACCTAACTACTTCTGCCTAGTAACTTATACCTAGCGACTTCTACCTAGTAACTTATACCTAGCGACTTGTACCTAGTAACTTATACCTAGCGACTTGTACCTAGTAACTTATACCAAGCGACTTCTACCTAGTAACTTATACGTAGCGACTTCTACCTAGTATATTATACTATTGTCGACATATATTTGCTTATCAATATTGCCGTCGTTTGACGTGACCTCCGTGTGTGTGTGTGTGTGTGTGTGTGTGTGTGTGTTGTGTGTGTGTGTGTGTGTGTACGACGTTGTCAAACATGGACTGACTGACTGGTTTTCAGTATCTGTAAGAAGATTAACAAGAGAACTTCAAGGGAAGAACAAGACTTAAGAACCTTCAGTCATACTCGACACATGTAACTAAAACATTCAGTGGGACTCAAAACATGCTCATGTCATCACTAAGGTTTAATTTACGTCCGAGAAAATGACAGGGGATTCACGAAGAGCGTAAGTTCAATGTGTTGCTTTACGGAGTTTACTGCGGAGGATTTGTCATAAGTGACGGGAGGCAAGAACGTGTAGACTACAAGACCAAATATTGACACTTGTTTGATCTGTCTGTCTCTCTCTCTCACCGCTGCCAACGGATGAAGCTGGCTAGTCAAGGTAAGCCTCCACCTCCAGTGTCAACCTCCAACCTTCCCCTCGCTCCCTTTACAACCTTTACCTCCGGTCTACCTACCTTTCCTTCCTCAGCCTCCAGCCAGTTGCTCCTCGCCTCACCTCCAGGCTGGGGGTGGATTCCTCCCTGCGGTTGTCTGTCTGTTTTCCAGTGTATTTACTAGCCAACAACATTAATGTGAGATGCGAGAGTTACCTGTGCCCCTTGTCTGTCTTACCTACCTCAGAAAATACGCAATTTTTTCTGATCTGTGTCCTAAAAAAGGGTTATAATCCATAAGTAATAGAATATACTTTTTTCACGGACTGACGTAAGTTTTTCTGGAAGTTAAGATTCACATATGGCAGCCCAGTTGTTGGAGTCATTATGACCCTCTGTAATCATGTACCACTGCTGCCTACATGATACCTACCTCCAAGGTACATAACACAACGATTACAGTGAATGATTTGCAAGTGGCACAATGTTGACACTCTCATCGGCATAACCTTAGTACACACACACACACACACACACACACACACACTGTTGTATTTCGTAAAATTCCCATTGTTGGCTGACCAGGTGGACAGCCGGTGCCTGGTAGAGCCGATGAGAAACACTCTCCTCAAGATGAATTAAGGAGGAAAGGTGTAAAAGCCTGTGGATGGAAAAGGGTGTCTGATCACTTAGTAAAGCCTTGTCTTTAGGGAGTTAGATCCCCTTACAACATACCTCAAGCTGTTATCTAAAGCTATTTAGCTTTTTAACGATGATTTAGGTGTTGTTTCGTTAAAATAACTAAGAAGGCTGAATTTAAAGTAATTACTGGTTATTTTGTGGTGACGATCAGTTGAACAATGGGAATTTAACAGTGAAAATAAACCAATTGTGTGTGTATGTGTGTGTTCCGCGTGTGTGTGTGTTCCGTGTGTGTGTGTGTGTGTGTGTGTGTGTGTGTGTTGTGTGTGTGTGTGTGTGTGTGTGTGTGTGTGTGTGTGATGTGTGTGTGTGTGTGTGTGTATGTATGTTGTTTTGTCACGTCAGCCCCAAAACTCAGATATAATTCAACACTGCTCCTCCGTCACGTTGTTCTTCGTTATCTGTCCTCTCCCTGACCGTCCAATCTTCGTTATCATTATCGCTTGTTGCTTCTCCTCGACATTATTTTCAGTTTCTCATTATCTTCCTATAATATTTGCCTCTCTTTTCCTTCTTATATGTATTTCAATTCCGATGGATTTTCCTTCTCTTTTCTGTAAATTATTTTTTAATTCTTCTGTTCCTGTCCGCCATTGTAAGCTTTTTAAAGCTTTCTCTAACAACGTAACAGCTAAAACTTTTTAGAAAAGTGAAACGACATAACACAAAGCCTGTCTTAGAGAATATTCTGTATATACACTTCTGAGGGGTCCTGTGTGTACACACAGGACCCCACAGAAGTGTATACACACTTGATCCCTCAGAAGTGTATACACACTTGACCCCTCAGAAGTGTATACACACTTGATCCCTCAGAAGTGTATACACACTTGATCCCTCAGAAGTGTATACACACTTGACCCCTCAGAAGTGTATACACACTTCTGAAGATAATTTTAATGTGGTTAAGGCATCACAATATACTTACAGATGTTGCCAAGATTGCTTGTAGCCTTAACGACCCTTGTGTAGTGTATCAACTTCACGAGGATCACTGTAGCTACGACACAATAAAGCTAGCACGCAGTAAAGCTACCAAGCATTAAAGCTACTAAATAATAAAGCAACCAGACAATGACCCCTCGTCTAGTCGATAGGTATTCAACTTTAAGTAGCGTAAGTGTCAGAAGTTCAGGTTGGCCAGTAGACACATCGTACACACACAGCAGCTGTGGCAAGGAGGTTCCTTAATGAAGGTGGAAAATCCTCTTGATCCAAGTAGTTGGATGCATCTTTACCTTCCCTGGATTGAACCTGATTGCCTCGTAAACCTTAAGATATTTGACCTCTACGGATTTAGCTCGTGCTAACAAGGCAACTTGTGGGCAGTACCTGCCATCGTGCGGGAAAGTGTTCAGCATATCCACTGAAGAGGGGCTCTACTTGACCTCGAAATACTATTGATATACTTTTCCCCTTTTCTTGTGTATTCCTTTATTGCTCTACTTTCCCCCTTTCTCCCTTGTGATAATACTGTTGCTTCTGCATGCGTATGTATGGTGTATGTTGTTACTGTTGTATGTTGCATGGTCGCACACACTGCATCTTGCAAGTGGAATGCCTATACATATACAATAAAAAATATATACACAGTTTTCGTTTTATTATAAGTTCATGCATGTGATAGTTGCTTTATTGCTCATTTTCTAGCACTACTCTATATATATATATATATATATATATATATATATATATATATATAATATATATATATATATATATATATATATATATATATATATATATATATATATATATTCACAAAGTTGTTTTAAGTTTATGAGTCTTCCATTTCACTGTCTTTAAAAAATTTCAGTTTGAAAATCTTTTTTGATACTTGTTCCGTAATGTTATGAGTCTGGAGTTGTGGAGTCTTGTAACACTCTCTCAGTTCCCTGGGTAATTGTTGTATTAACCAAACGTTATTACCACCTCATTGACACCCTGAAGTGAATGTGATCCACACTCACAGGAAAGTGATCCGAACCCACATGAATGTGACTAAAACTCACTTTCATGATTGTGCTTCCAGTAATAGAATGGGAAGACTGTGTCAAAATCTCTGACTGATCTGCTGAGGAGGACCTCAGAGGTCCATACATAGAGCTATACTCTTGTTTAATTTTTATGTCTCCTTGTGGGTTTGTGTCACAAAATAAGATGCATTTATATTTGATTCAAAATCAATTTCTATTAATAATAATAATAATAATTTTGTGGGTGTTTAGTAAAGGAACTCATAATTAGTATTGAATTTACCTTTTGTACGCTGGTATAAATTCCCTTCTGTTGTGAAACAGGTGAAGGACTCTTGATCCAGTTAATTAGAGCTTCCTTACCCCTTCCTTGGATCAAACCTTACCATTTTCCAATTACCCCCCACCATGAGTGTAACAATGATGGTGTTGAGGTATAGCAGTGTGTTGACTCTAGTGTTGTGTCTCGGGGTGTTCAGGCTTTGCGTACGTGGGAGGCGCCTGCGTGGTCAACAAGAGGTTGCAGAAGGTCAACTCCGTTGCAATAGTTGAAGACACTGGCGGCTTCTCTGGGATCATCGTTGCAGCTCACGAAGTTGGTCACCTGTGAGTACTGGATGGCCCCAGCTCCCCGCTCAGAGGGTCTCCGTGTGTTTTGTATATAAGATGTATCTACGACTTGTGTTTTGACCTGAGATGAACTCTGTTGAGTGTTTTTCTTGCATAGTGTTGCAAGAATGCCTAACACACACACACACACACACACACACAACACACACACACACACACACTATTCCCTACAATCTTATGCACTTAACCCCAGCACTGGTGCCAACAGGCTAGGAGCGGTGCACGACGGGTCACCTCCACCGTCGTACCTAGGAGGTCCAGGAGCTCGTAGGTGTCGCTGGGAGGACGGGTACATCATGAGCGACCTCAGGCACACGGAGAAGGGCTTCAGATGGTCTCCGTGCTCAGTCGAGCAATTCCATCACTTCCTCAAGTGAGTAAATAATAATAATAATAATAATAATAATAATAATAATAATAATAATAATAATAATAATAATAAGAGAAATAATAATAATGGTAATATCAACAATATTTACAAATAACACTTATGGTGTATACAGATTTTATATTTCTTCATTTTACAAATGATTTTGTCTTTGGGTGGATATTCTGATGGATTCTTTGTGTAGACAACAATGTCAAGTTTTGCTTCTGTATGGTTACAGATCAGATTTTCACTTGCGTTGGGAGGAAATGCAAAAAATAAATCAGATAGGCGTGTATCTCTTTGTATATACAAGAGGTGTATGTGTCTCTCTGGGTATATACGTACACTGAGAGTTTAATTGTCATTTTTAAGGATTAAAGCAGTCTTGAGTGGTAGACTACGGATGTAAAGCAACCTTAATGACCCTCGTATAATTAATAGGCTTCACACCTAATCAATCAACCAATTAGCACTATCCAGGCAATGTCCTCAACTAACACTGTGGTTTTAACAATTCGGCGCTGTCCTTCTCTGGAACAGTGTCTCAAACAACCCCCTCTGTCTCTCACACCCCCTCTGTCTCCCACAACTTCCTCTGTCTCCCACACCCCTTCATGAGAGACACACATGCAGTATAATGGGATCCTATGTTAACTACGTTTCGCCCACAAAGAGGCTTTGTCAAATCACGAACAGATCTGTTGGTGACGTGATAAAGTCCACAGTATGGGCGAAATGTTATCAATAAAGAATCGCGTAATAATGCATCTGAGTCTGTTTTTTTCCATCCTGACGGTATTTTATACAATTTACCTCCACCCCTTGATGAGACACGTGTGCAACACCTGGGTGTCCTGAGACACAATATAACCTGACCTAATGAGGAATCTCATACTGGTCTTCCCCACGACAGCGGCGACACGGCCACCTGTCTCTACAACCTTCCCCACGAGGACGAGTCCCTCCCCAGGGTCCTCCCAGGGAAGCTGCTCTCCCTCGACGCCCAGTGCAAGAAAGATCGAGGAACCTCCGCCTGCTTCGTAAGTACTTCCTCTCTTCCTCTCTTCCCAGACGACCAAGATGACGATCTCATCCTAGGCGACGGCATCAGGGATCTTCCCTGAACGACCACCATTTCTTTTCCCTCCCTCCAGCACCAAATTTCCTAAGATTCCTTGTGAAGGAGTATATGGAAATCAATGGATGACGATTGACTTATCGGACGATAGCTGAGCAACGGGAGGACTGGCCGCTGGGGAATAATGGACAGCAGACAATGAACGGTGTATTGGACGAAAGACGGACGATCGTGGATTGACTTCAGTGACAGTTCACCACAAACGAACAACGATAGTCTACGTCAGACAGATGTATCATTAACTCACCACACATTCGACACGCAAACTATGACTCGACATAGGTATGACACTAGTTTTTGCCCTGACTTACGAACAACACATTTTTTTCGACTTTCGTGCAACAATGACACGTGACTTGTATAATTCAGCACACCCATGACATACAAACAGTGACAGTATGCAAGAACAAGGAGACCGAAGATAACTCAATACGCAGGTAAGCTGGCAGCCAACAATTAAAAGCTCTGTCAGTAAGACATAAACAGACAGCTATTGAACATATGATGGTTGGTGTGTTTATGTCTCACCAGGACCGTATGAGGTACCAGTGTGTCCTGAGTTGTGTTGCGTCACTGTGTGTCCTCAGCTGTGTTGTGAGTGTCACTGTGTGTCCTGAGCTGTGTTGTGAGTGTCACTGTGTGTCCTGAGCTGTGTTGTGAGTGTCACTGTGTGTCCTCAGCTGTGTTGTGAGTGTCACTGTGTGTCCTCAGCTGTGTTGTGTCACTGTGTGTCCTGAGTTGTGTTGTGAGTGTCACCGTGTGTCCTCAGCTGTGTTGTGAGTGTCACTGTGTGTCCTCAGCTGTGTTGTGAGTGTCACTGTGTGTCCTGAGCTGTGTTGTGAGTGTCACTGTGTGTCCTCAGCTGTGTTGTGAGTGTCACTGTGTGTCCTCAGCTGTGTTGTGTCACTGTGTGTCCTGAGTTGTGTTGTGAGTGTCACTGTGTGTCCTCAGCTGTGTTGTGAGTGTCACTGTGTGTCCTCAGCTGTGTTGTGAGTGTCACTGTGTGTCCTGAGTTGTGTTGTGAGTGTCACTGTGTGTCCTGAGTTGTGTTGCGAGTGTCACTGTGTGTCCTCAGCTGTGTTGTGAGTGTCACTGTGTGTCCTCAGTTGTGTTGTGAGTGTCACTGTGTGTCCTCAGCTGTGTTGTGAGTGTCACTGTGTGTCCTCAGCTGTGTTGTGAGTGTCACTGTGTGTCCTCAGCTGTGTTGTGTCACTGTGTGTCCTGAGTTGTGTTGTGAGTGTCACTGTGTGTCCTGAGTTGTGTTGTGAGTGTCACTGTGTGTCCTGAGTTGTGTTGTGAGTGTCACTGTGTGTCCTGAGTTGTGTTGTGAGTGTCACTGTGTGTCCTGAGTTGTGTTGTGAGTGTCACTGTGTGTCCTGAGTTGTGTTGTGAGTGTCACTGTGTGTCCTGATTGTGTTGTGAGTGTCACTGTGTGTCCTCAGCTGTGTTGTGAGTGTCACTGTGTGTCCTCAGCTGTGTTGTGAGTGTCACTGTGTGTCCTCAGCTGTGTTGTGAGTGTCACTGTGTGTCCTCAGCTGTGTTGTGAGTGTCACTGTGTGTCCTGAGTTGTGTTGTGAGTGTCACTGTGTGTCCTGAGTTGTGTTGTGAGTGTCACTGTGTCCTGAGTTGTGTTGTGAGTGTCACTGTGTGTCCTGAGTTGTGTTGTGAGTGTCACTGTGTGTCCTGAGTTGTGTTGTGAGTGTCACTGTGTGTCCTGAGTTGTGTTGTGAGTGTCACTGTGTGTCCTCAGTTGTGTTTGAGTGTCACTGTGTGTCCTGAGTTGTGTTGTGAGTGTCACTGTGTGTCCTCAGTTGTGTGTGAGTGTCACTGTGTGTCCTCAGCTGTGTTGTGAGTGTCACTGTGTGTCCTCAGCTGTGTTGTGAGTGTCACTGTGTGTCCTCAGCTGTGTTGTGTCACTGTGTGTCCTGAGTTGTGTTGTGAGTGTCACTGTGTGTCCTGAGTTGTGTTGTGAGTGTCACTGTGTGTCCTGAGTTGTGTTGTGAGTGTCACTGTGTGTCCTGAGTTGTGTTGTGAGTGTCACTGTGTGTCCTGAGTTGTGTTGTGAGTGTCACTGTGTGTCCTGAGTTGTGTTGTGAGTGTCACTGTGTGTCCTGAGTTGTGTTGTGAGTGTCACTGTGTGTCCTCAGCTGTGTTGTGAGTGTCACTGTGTGTCCTCAGCTGTGTTGTGAGTGTCACTGTGTGTCCTGAGTTGTGTTGTGAGTGTCACTGTGTGTCCTGAGTTGTGTTGTGAGTGTCACTGTGTGTCCTGAGTTGTGTTGTGAGTGTCACTGTGTGTCCTGAGTTGTGTTGTGAGTGTCACTGTGTGTCCTGAGTTGTGTTGTGAGTGTCACTGTGTGTCCTGAGTTGTGTTGTGAGTGTCACTGTGTGTCCTGAGTTGTGTTGTGAGTGTCACTGTGTGTCCTGAGTTGTGTTGTGAGTGTCACTGTGTGTCCTCAGTTGTGTTGTGAGTGTCACTGTGTGTCCTCAGCTGTGTTGTGAGTGTCACTGTGTGTCCTCAGCTGTGTTGTGAGTGTCACTGTGTGTCCTCAGCTGTGTTGTGTCACTGTGTGTCCTGAGTTGTGTTGTGAGTGTCACTGTGTGTCCTGAGTTGTGTTGTGAGTGTCACTGTGTGTCCTGAGTTGTGTTGTGAGTGTCACTGTGTGTCCTGAGTTGTGTTGTGAGTGTCACTGTGTGTCCTGAGTTGTGTTGTGAGTGTCACTGTGTGTCCTGAGTTGTGTTGTGAGTGTCACTGTGTGTCCTCAGCTGTGTTGTGAGTGTCACTGTGTGTCCTCAGTTGTGTTGTGAGTGTCACTGTGTGTCCTCAGCTGTGTTGTGAGTGTCACTGTGTGTCCTCAGCTGTGTTGTGAGTGTCACTGTGTGTCCTCAGCTGTGTTGTGTCACTGTGTGTCCTGAGTTGTGTTGTGAGTGTCACTGTGTCCTCAGCTGTGTTGTGAGTGTCACCGTGTGTCCTGAGTTGTGTTGTGAGTGTCACCGTGTGTCCTCAGCTGTGTTGTGAGTGTCACTGTGTGTCCTCAGCTGTGTTGTGAGTGTCACTGTGTCATAATCTGTAATAATGCTAGAAATGTAAACACGTGAGCGGTGTCGGTATTTTATACCATTTATTTCCACTGTATGAATAATATTGAAGCAGAGCTGCTATTTTTCCTCTCTGTGTTTACCTCTCCTCACCCTCCACAGGCAGCCTCTATACTCTCTTCCACTTTCCTCTCCATTTTCATTTTCTCTCTTTTCTTACCTGGCAGTAGCTCCCACCACCTTCTTGCCCCTTGCTTCTTCTCGCCTCCCCACACCCTCCCCTTTCATAGTCTTTCCATCTTTCTCGTCCCACACTCCTCTCCATGTTCACCCCACCCACACTCATAGCCTCCCCCTCTTGCCTCCTCTCTCCCCTCCTGCAGAAAGACGATAGAGTCTGCGCGCAGCTCTTCTGCTTCGATTCCTCGAGCGGCTATTGTGTGTCGTACCGTCCTGCCGCCGAGGGTTCTGACTGCGGCAGCGGTAAGATCTGTAGCAACGGTCGCTGCGTCTACGACAACGGCAACTCCATCTCCGACTTTGACATTAGCAGGTGCGGCACAAACCGGAAACATGCCACAGGTACTGAAAAAAAAAATACCTGGCTGTCCCGGAAGTGACTCCAGGTGTTTACAATAGGTGTCAGAAAGTATTACGTGTAAATCGCGAGAGGTTTTCAACAGGGGAAACGTAAATCATAACCCTCACAGATTATAGATCACGTAACTGCCAAACATCGTAAATAACACCTTTATCGTCAATTAACTAGGGCTGCCAGATTTCCCTAGCCAACTTATCCAGTGTTTGCCTACATAATCGCCTATTACTACCTATGTTTAAGGTCTTAGTTCTACATTATTATTAATCTACAGTTGCCTTAGTAAACCTAATATTAGTTGTACTAACAAGTAAAACTACCTACTCCTTCCTGGAAGGGTAAATCTAAAATTAAAATAAGCTTACCCACCCAATCCACGCCAAATCTGAGAGAATTCTTTGTTTGGGTGGGTGTATAAGGGCCACCAGCTCAAGCCGTTCCTATTACGGCCATGCGGATTCTGTCCTGTGGAACTATTAGGTGGAACCAAATTAAATTTTTTCCACATCTCCCGCATAGGTGAAGGTAGGCGCTAAGTCTAAATCAAGTTCACCTCCGCGAGACCCCCACAGCGGACATGAGTGCCATCTGGCCCTCTTGTCGAGCAGACTCGGTCTAACTTCAACCATCACAGTTTCCCCTGCGTTGGACCTCTGGGGGTGTTAACTTTGTTGGTTTCTGGTGGTTTAGACACTTTTCTTTTAACTTTAACGTCTTTTGTATGTCTAGCCTTGACTGTGTGGCTCCGTACTTTTCCCACCCAGTGGCACACACGCTCTTGGGTTGCCTTTATCCACTGTTTACGAGGTTCCCTAGATATTAATGGCTATCTATCTCCCACACTTTATGTACCTGTAAGAGGGTTTTCCAAGGTGGCCGAGTGTTCGTCACTCCCTACCTGGTTCAGCTTCCATGGTGGTTCATCGGTGTATACTGGTATTCATATCACACTCCCTATCCAGCTATCATGGGGATAGCTTCTCCTCTATTGGTGTAGGCAGGGAATTCTGGCGGAGAATCCTGCCACCCTACTGGGGATCTGTATAAAACCAATTCCTTCCTTAAATCGTCGTCGTGTAGGACAGGGAAGTCATCTATATGATTGGGCTCCACCAGAGATACTACATTTCTGTACTGTGTCAGTGGTAATTCCTGGTCTGCCAGCTTCCATGTCAGCGTTCTTTTTCAATCGCTTAGCTGCTGCAGCATGACCTCTCGCTGTAATTGCTGTGGGTAATGTCTTACCACAGGCTGTAATGGTCTCTGCGATGTCCAACCTAATTTGACTGTGACTTCCTCCACATCATATGTTTGGGTGGGGCCCCTGACCATGACTTATAGCCCTTCCCAACATCTTTCTAAACTTGCCTTGTGGCCTCAACTTTTATTTAGCACCAACTTCTTTGTTATCAAGGATACTTGTGTCCTGGGGTTTTAAAGAATAAATCGGGTGGTTTCGGTCCTGGTGTTCCACTCACACCTTTGGCCTTGACTGTAGGCAGGGCAGCACCTCCGTGGATTCTCACTCGGATTAGAGACTTCACTCCCATCTAATCTCGGCTGGGCTACATTTTTCAGGCTCAGAACTCACTTTCAGTCTCTACCTGAGAGATATTCCCTACTAGCCTGAGTTCCCTTAACTTATTTGGGACATAGTGCAGTATGGTGCTTACCTTTGTTTTTTTTTTTTTTTTTTCAAAAAACAGACTCGGACACTCACAGTCTCTCGCAAAGTGTTCCCACAAACACTTGAAGCAGGAGTTCAACTCTCTTAGTCTCTTGTTGCTTTACTGCGCAGTGTGTTGTATACTCCGAAGCAAACTCGTGCTAGCGTGTCACCTTCGCAGACATGATTTTCTGGCATGAAGTGCCTCTGAGGTTCTGCTTAGAGGTCTTACCTAAGTCTCCTCTTTACACATTGTACACTCCAAAGTTAGTCGTACGAGCTTTGACTGATCTCTCGAGATTTTGAGTGACTTTTTGGGTTTTTGATGTGGCGATGGTGGTGACTCCTTCTATCACACCCTTATACTCAAATGAGAAACGAGAGCTCCACACCCACTCAACGATTTGTTGTATCGTTGAACCTATTCGTCCGTATTTAAATGTAACTCATGCACTGTAGTCGCCAGCCAGTTTCCTCTGGAATCACCTGACTGTTGAACCATTCTGGGACTTACCCCATCATGTAAATCTTTATGACTATTCGTTCAACTCATATACTTCTCGTTTCGAAATTCCTCTAGGCTCTGTCGGTCATGGCGAACAAGCCTTGAGATCCAACAAAACCAGATAAGTATAGCTACTTTTATATCCTCAGTGGGTGACAAATGTGTCCTTTAATTGGTCTTTGGCATGTTGGTAGTGGTGTCAGTTGGTTTGGTAATGCTGGTCCAAGTCAAGGCTGTGAAAAACGTAATATTGTTAATTTCGACAGGATATGACAAAATCGTCTCGTCATCTATCTGGGCTTTTTTTAAACTGATCCAGAAAGCAGTGTACTCTGTTTTAAGGTTCCGTCTCGACGTGGTAAATTTCAACTGGGGTAATCTGGGCAACACATTAACAGGCGTTGCTGTTGTTCGTGTTCCTTGAAACATTTGCTTCCCCCTGCGGCACCGGCCTTCAAAGTCTTTATTAACTGCTGCAGAGTCTCATCTCTGCTTTTCACTCTGCCCTTCGTTCGTCATAGTCCGTCTGTGCTACTTCGATGTATTTTCAGACTCTCACTGTAGTATAGGACTCTGTCTCATAAAGCGATTAAATGATCTCTCCTTAGGGCCTCAGGTCTTTGCTCCAAGGTTTCAGGCAACTCTCTAGTTCCTCCCAGTTACGTCTTGATCTTGCCTAACCGTTAGACACTCCTCACATGCTTTGCTCAGGGCCCCTTATAGGCTCCCATAGACCGCTTTAATTGACGTGAGTGGGAAGCTGGTATACATCGGGTCACCTCACCATAGTTGCGGTTTTTAGTATTATGATCTGGTACTAAATTGTACTTCAATTTGCCACCCCACAGCACGAACGGTATAGGCAATTATGAACGGAGTCTCAAGGCTTGATCAAAAGCCTGGACAACTCCCTTTATTATATTTGACCCTCTACTCTGAATCAAAATGTACACTGTTACGCTCTCAAATCCCAATCGAAATGTGTTAGCGTGTGAAAGCTAACTAGCAGTTCTGTTTATAATGCCAGCAAATAATTACAGGACTTACCTAGTCTCAGGTACAATTCACAAATCCCACCATTAACATGAATCAAAAGACAATGAAAAGCACACACATAAAAAGTGCAGTATGCAATTAAAATTCACTTGGTTCGCACAAGTAAATTCAACAAATCAACTTGTGAAACAGGTATATAATAATGTGTGTAAAACTAGGCTTGACCTAGCTTACTCAGTCTAGCATGGATGGTTGGATAAGGTAATCCTAAAACTAATAGTGTGCTAGATTAATTTATCTAGCTTTAGAAACCCTGTAAATAATTAAACTAGGTTAAATCATGTCCTAGCTACTAGTAACTGTTGTAAATATTGCACAAGCCTAGCCTAACTAATGGCTACCTTGGCAAATCCACTGTAAGTAATTTTAAATTCACAAGCTTCTTGTCTAGCCTCCTGGCCTGCCTGTAAATTACTGCAAATAAAAACTTCTGTGTATAGTCAGCTTGGCTAGCTCTGTGTAACTCTGGCCTAGGTGTGCAACTTAACCATAACTCTGTTAAACGGTTCCTAACATGTGGCCTAGCTATGATTGCTTAACCTAGCTATTCCACATCACCGGTTTCGAAAGGACCTCTTTTTGTGAAAATTTGTGTGGACTGCCTCCAAGTGGAGTCACCTAACCTGGCAATAACTTGTTGACACCGAGCTCTGAGGTGGGTTACTCAGGCCTCACAAGTGGCTTATAGGACAGATTTTCCAAATGATTGATATGTTGCAAGAAATCGCCTGCATGCATGTATAATGGACTAACTTACTTGGTGGTGCAGCATATATCTGATCTTCAACTTCCCTAAGGCTTAGCCTTAGCCCCTTTGACTTCCCTCAGAAACCACATGCAACGGGAGAGCCTTAAATTCCTGCCAATATTCATTCGTTATTAGTGACCTGCCTGCATCTCAGAAATATTCTATATCCAAGAGGGGTATGGTGAAGCGGGATATACGAGGAAGGAAATTCGTATAAATGACCTCATAGGGGACAGGAGCGTAGTGGGAAACAAGTGTAGTCAAAGATAAGATAAAACCAATATTGCAAACTAGATATTCCACAAGGAAATAGCAAACAAGAGGACTCCACTAGCTTATAGTGTATGATATATTACCAAAAACAACTGGTGGGAACTTCCCATTGTTGGTGCTAGGGAGGATAGGAATAAAACAGGGATACATGCACCAACAGGGAATACAGTCACAGAAACCCAAGGCAAACGGAAACCAGCCTATGACATACTATGCAACTTGGTATCTGCAGACATGGAAAATCTAGGAAAAACAGGCGGGACGTGCAACTATGACCACTAGAAAAGCCATGCCCATTTGACAACAGGAAAAAATGCAACACTCCCTTCCTGTAAGCATTTTTCACCCTGAAATGTGTACCCTCTTCAAGTACAGGAAAGACTGTGTTGCTATAACTTAATTGCCAGGCACACCATCTAAAGGGTACAAAAAAGATACGAAACATCCAGCCATGGGAAAACCGGGGTAGCCACAGCCACTCAAGAGGGAGAGCGGTTTTTTAGTGCCTCGGAAGGAAAAAAAAAAATGGCAGGGAAATGGCCAGTACTGAAATGTACAACCAAATCGTCATTCCTGGAGTGGAACCACAGTCGATGGGCCTCCACTCCCAAACCCACCCAGATACAGATTACTAAGCCGGAAAACAAAATCCCCCCCAATACCAACAATACCACCAGTCCGATAACCATTTCTTTCTTGGCAAATATACTGGGTCTAAAAGCCAGCAACAAACAACAAATTACCTTTCATCCGTTCGGAACTGCCTTTTTGTAGAAGCAAAGGCAATGT